AATAGCGTTGACTCTCCCCCATTGTCCTGCATTTAGTGGTTCAGGACTCTTTCAGTCCAGTGGTACCATTTTTTAGCACCTTAGGGCCACGCAGTCCAGAAGACCTATTTTGAAACCCTCCGGTGGACCATTTCTGTAGGGAGAGGTCAGTAGCCAACTGGTGTTCTGGGCATGTTCCTGGATAAGTTTGGGAAATGTGGATCCTTCCTGGACTCAGAGCCATCCTCAACCAGCAAGAGACCTTCCTCCTTGGAAGGGAGACACCCTCAGACTTACCGAGAAATAGACGTTGCCATCAGGCAGGACTCCTCCAACAACCAGATCACTCCCCACTCTGGTGTAGCGATTTGTGACACCCAAGCCCACCCAGCCAGTTGTCTGGACCTGCAGCTCAAAAGTGATGATCTCAGCCTCAAGGTCAAAGTCCCAGCGCAGGAAAATGACATTGGAAGGATCTAGGAACCTGGAATAACGCAGGCGAGATGTGGGGCCAAGGTGTTTGCCTTGGGAGGGGGCTGCCAGGGCCGTAAGTAGGAGAAGTCTGAAGAGAAGGGCATAGGTCATGGCTTCTGGGGTCTGGAGTATCTCTCCTACAGATGGACACTCAAGAAGTATGGATTTATATGTGCCTCTACCTGGGCCAGGCACCGTGCCATGGGGGAGGGACAGACTGGGGCTCCTCTGATCTGATTATCCTCTGGATTCAGAATGGTGCCGCTTACATAACTCTGGAGGTGTGAGGTGCCCAGAGAGGCTGCAGAGCAGATTGCTCTTGCCCCGGAGCAGGGACCTGACATGAAGTTCTCAGGAGTAGGTCACTTAGACTCTTCTACTCCAACCCCATACCAGGGTCCTCCCTGGGGTTTGGGTTTTTCCCTGCTTTTCCTTCCTTGTCTCTTTCTCTCTCTCCCTTTCCGCACCGCCGCCCCCCCACCCCCGTATCCTTGATGTCCTTACTGAACACTCTGCTCTCTGGCACCTGCCCCCTGCCCCAGCTTTTATGGACATTTTCTAAATCTGGAACTGGGGCATAGCAGGGGGTAGGGGTGAGCCTGAAGACATGCAGCAGAGGAAGGAGAGAAGTTTCTGAGGGGTGTTCAGGGAAGGCTATGATTTCCATCTCCCGGAAGAGTCTTTGCTACTAATCCCTGGAAGGACACATAGAGGTGAAGGAGCCATAATCAGCTTTCCAGATGGGTGAGTCTGGGCTGGCCTTGAGTTTCTGCACATTCCTGGGGAGCAGCAAGGAGGAGGAGGAGGGGAGGGGAAGAAGAGGGAGACAATGGAGGTAAATGTAAACTGGCCCTTCAGATGCTTGGTGCTCTACCCTTCCTTCCATGAATTGCCTGCCAGAGAAGTCACATTTAGTGACTCTCACTCTACTGGGGGCTTGGCGCAGGGTCCCTACTGACAAGTGCTTCAGTATTCAAACCATAAAAGCACAGAAGGAATGTTAGAATATTAGAACGCCAGAGTAGAAAGGAATTTTAGATCCACTTACTTTTTAGATGAGTAAAGGGAAATACCAAGAGGTAACAGGAGTAGTGCCTGATCCCCCATGTAGTCAGAGGCAGAGCTAACACTGGCACACAGGGGCCCTGCCCCCAGGCCAGTGCTCTTTCCACTATTAGCCTAGGTTACAGACACCCACAGGGCACCCAGCCACCCCCAGTGCCTTCCCACCATGGCTTGCCCTGGTGGAGGGAGTTGTCATCTGCGGACTGCTTCTTAGGGAGGGAACACACATCTCACTCTATGCCTGGCTTTTTTTTTTCTGTCCAGGCTCTGACACAGCTGAGTGAAAGCTGGAAATCACCTCACTGACCCCCAGTGTCCTTTCACCATCAGACGATGGAGAGGCTCTGAAAAACTAAGAAGGACATGTGCCCAGTAGGCATCCCCTAGTACAGAAACTGGACCACACATCACGTGGGAATTCAGCTCAAACCTCAGTGGACAGGAGCTGGAGCATCTGTTTATGCCTCCATTCAGGGCATGCATACTCTTTTCATTATCTATTGAGTTCATCAAAGCTGGTAAGGACCCAGCTGAGGTTGTTGGCAGCTGCTGTGAGCACCTGAGTAGGAATTGGGGTGTGGTGGGAGAAAAAACCCATCTCCCAAGACAGCAACCATAATGCCAACTCTGGGCACGAGAGCAGGGAGGTTGCTATGCAGCCATCTGGAAGGAAGAGGCTTACCTTGGCCCAGGATGGGAGCAGGGCCAAAACCAGAGGAGGAGCCTGGGGAGGCATTGACCTTGAGGAGCAGGAATCCAGGGAGGAGATAACAGGAGTGTCAGAGACACTCCGATCCCAATCGCATTTGGGGATTAAGGCTAAGGGAAGGGGAGGCAGGGAGAAGGTCAGCCAGCCCTGTAAACCAAGATGGGGCCAGGATCCCTTATCCTGAAATCTGTCTACCTGCCAGAGTGCCCGCCTGTGGGAGGGAGGTGGGAACCAGTGCCTGCAGCCTCAGGGTTTCTGCTCCTGGGCTCCCTCTGGCCACCCACTCGGCTTTTCTCTCCCTGTTCACCTTTTCCCCCCAGTTCTGGTTTGCTCCCTGCTCCCAGCCCCCTTCCCTTTCATTATCCGATCCCCAGAGCTGCTCTCTCCACAGTAACCCCAGAATGCAATGCACATGGCTTGGTAGGTGAGGACGCCTCTGTGTTGGCACGTACATATTTCTGGTGTTCAAGATGTGTGATTTGGGCAATGGTTCCCAGAGCATCAACACCCGCCCCCTCTGGAGAGAAGAGGTTGGGAATCGGTAAGAGCAAAAGCCAAAAGAGAAGCGACACATTTTACTTAGAATGCAGGGCGATGGACATTTTGTGCATGATTAGATTATGTACATTTGAAATCGTCTGATATAGAAAATATTAACAAACCCACTTTATACACAAAATTGTACATAATGGAAATGAGAGTTTTTTAAAAAATCCAGAACCACAGAGATTTCAAAGTTATCAAGCCAACTGAATTAGAAACTATATTATGTTGTCAGCCACACTGCATCAATAACTGTTACCCTTTGCCAGAATCACATGGACCATATTGTTGTAAATATTTATATGTCAGCTGATTAACAAAAATACCGAACCTAGGAGGTGCAAAGCCCCAGGATGCCACCGCTGTCCCCTGATGTGTGGGCTCCCGGGGGTGACGGGTCTGTGGTCTGCCCTTGCTATAGTTCCCCTCTTCCTTCATCAAGGGTCCATGAAGGCTCAGACACCTCACTAGGAGCACCGACTTGAATACAGTGCAATCCCAGGTCTTGCAATAGTAAAGTTTGGTTGCTAGACCCCTATGTGTCCCCATGTTTTTGTCTGTAAAATGCTGAGGGTGAAGAGAGGGTCTCTTTTTTTTTAAAGATTTATTTTTTATTCTCACGAGAGAAAACACGGATGGGAGGGACAGAGCGAAAGGGAGCAAGAATCTCAAGCAGACTCCATGCTGAGCGAGGAGCCTGAGCTGGGTTCCATCCTAGGACCCTGAGATCATGACCTGAGCCAAGACCAGGAGTCAGACACTTAACTGACCGCACCACCCGGGCGCCCCAAGAGGGTCTTTTAAATCTAATTTCCCAGATCACTGGTTTCCAAACTTTCTGAAAAATGAGACCTCTTGCCAATGTTAGAAAGTTATGAGAACTTGTGTTTTCATCTCAGCTGATGATTAAGAGGGAGATAAAGGGAGGTAAATCCTGCCATGAATTCTGTCATATGTAAATTGAATTGGCAATTTACCATTGACGTGACAGAAGTCAACTCACTAAGTGCTCCGTCTGTGCCAAACTCTATTCCAAGAATTTTTCGTGTATGAGTCTATTTACTCTTATGAAATCACTCTCATTATTATCTTTATCTTTGAGATGGATAAACTGAGTCCGAAGGCCACAGTGCTAGGTAGTGCCCGCACTGGGCGTTGTCAGGAAAATGTAACCAAAAATCAAAGCTCCTCCCAACTCGGGACATCTCTCCCCAGAAGTAGAAGAGAAAGAAAGCAGTCTTATTATTGAATAAGCATTAAATCAGAATGTGATATACATCCTAGGCATTTTGTTAGGAAGACAGGCAGAAATCCTGGCCTTTTTATACAGGCCATCAGACACAACCCATTACATACGCGTTCTCGAGATAAGTGATAACCAGTCCTCAAATAAGAGGCTGGAGAGGCCATCCCGGGGCCACTTGTTAACTGGGGGGCCCATCCAGGTTTACCCAGAGGACAAGTAATCTTGCCATATATCTTTATGACAGGGCATCATTTTGCAACTTGGTGTGAGGCATGCGCTCTAAATAAAGTTAGGCTCATTTTGATGTTTGTATTTCAAAGAGATTGATTGCAGGTCCTAGAGAAAAACATTTCTGGGTGATTTACATATATTTCAAAGAAAGAGAGAGAACTTAAAATTACAGGTTTTCTAAAGTAAATGCTCTAAGGAAATGGACAGGAGGTAAGTCTCGTCCCTTATTTTCAACAGGGGAAATTAAGTCTCTTATGTTTGTTAGTTGACCTTACAGAGGAGAACACGGGAATTGGAAATGAGAGCCCACTGTCTAGTGCCCAGCTTGGCCTTGGAGCCGCCTCTGTGCGTGTGTGAAGCATTCGGGGGAGGGAGGTCTTCGTTTCATTATGTTTGAATCCCTTGGGAAGATTTGAGGTGCACATTCAAAACCACTACTGTCTGTGTTCAGAATCTCTGGGGCACAGTTGAGAGGGTGCAGGCGATGTACCTTCACTAAGGCACTCAGTGAAGGTGGGGATTTTGTGCCTGCCTGCCTGCCTGAGGGCTGTTGGCATGCAGGAAACAGGAAACCCCATAGGGTTTGAACCTCAGTGAGACAATGAGACAAAATACTGAGCTTCCTGGAAAAGCCACTCCCTTTTGAGTTTCAGGCCTAGAGTGTCAGTGACTTATTGCCACCTTATAGACCTGGATCCTGTTCTCCTGACCCTGACCCACTGCCTCACTGGAGAAAGCCTGTGGGGCCAGGGGATGGGGCCATTTTCCATCCTGTGGGGCTGGGCACTCGTGGCTACCGTGAGTACAGGTAAGAGGCCAGGCAGAAAAAGCTCTCCATGGGTTGGGGGAGGGAAAGAGGGACCAGTAGGCACAGAAAGTTTTGCTCCCAGATCCCAGCCTTGTTAAGATCCTCACTGGCATAACACCCCCACGAGAAAGCGTTCCTTCTGCTCCCAGGAGTCTCCTATTGGCATTGCTCATGGGTCCCCCTCTTCAGGATTTGGCTGCAGCTGATTATTTGGGGGAGTTACTGCTACCCTTGGGACCTTTAGCTTGACCTGACTGTGTATTTCAGATGCCACTGTGAGCTTGGTGGAGCAAAGGCCCAGGTGGGTCCTGGTAGCTCACGGACAGGCTAAAACCCTGCACTGCATCCTGAGGAATTCCCAGTACCCCTGGATGAGCTGGTATCAACAGGACCTCCAGGGGCAACTACACCTACTGGCCACTCTGCGGAGTCCTGGGAATGAGGAGGTCGTATCCCTTCCTGGAGCACATTACCAGGCCACGAGGGTCAACAGCATGGAGCTGAGGCTGCGTGTGACCAATGTGACCCAGGGGAGAACTCTCTACTGCACCTGCAGTACCAGACACAGTGAGAAACCCCCCTTGGACAAGTGAATACAAACCATCCCGGGTTGCCAACCACAGACCCAACCTCCTCCTCTGCCCCGACTCCTCCCACATTCCCCTATATCCTCTCTTGTTGCCTCTTCTCTACAAGCAGACTCTTCCTGCTGCTTTCCCATCAACCTTTTGGTGAATGCTAAGCCTGCCCAGCACAGCGATTTAACCACCAATTTAGCTTCTGAGGGGCTCTGTTGCAGAACTTCCTCTGCCACTTGGGAGCTTTGGGAAAGACTTCATCTCCCTGAATCCTGGTTTCTGTGCCTGTAAAGTGCAGACAGTAACTTCACCCAGCTCAGAGGCTTGCCATGAGGGTCAAATGGCACGATTCTCCACAGTATGCCTAGGTAACAAGCATATGCATTTTAATACCAGTATCAATGCCCAGAGGGGTGCTGGAAAGAAACCTGAAGAAATTCTAAGAGCTCAGAAAGGAGGAAGAATGAGCACCTCTGCGTAGCCCCTACTCACACCCCTAGAAAAAACACCCACTTTTTCAATTAGATCCCCATAATCGGTGCTTGCCACCACCTAAATGTCTCACCCCCCCAACCTCAAGTTGATCTTTTTAAAAGTTAGATCCTCAGAGAGACCCTGACCTAGACAGGACCAGGGTCTGGATCCACAGTGAGGGCTTGCCAAACATTGACTAAGCAGCCATGGCTCAGAACTGGGTTGGCCACCTGACCAAGGCCATACATGGAGTGAGGGTGGAACAGGGAGGCTCAGATCCCAGGCGAATGTCCCAGAAGCTGCAGGCAGGTGCACTGAGGGAGAGGGGCCCAGATCCTGGGAGCCCTGCAGTGATGGGAGACCCGAAGGTGGCTGTAGCGGCACCACTCTGCTTCTAGCTAGGAGCAGCTCTATCCCAGACGGCATGGACCAGATGAGCAGGTAACTGGGGTGCAAGGTGGTGGTGAGCGAGAAGACATTTCAAAGCTCAGTCTCTGATGGAGGTCTGGGTGGGCTGTGGTCCAAGGCTGCAGGCAAGCACGCTTTCCTCAGGCTTGTGGAGAGGGAGGAATTTTGTCCACCAGGGGGCACTATCTGCCCATAGTTCTCCATGATCTGCTCAGACAGGGTCGGCCATGGATCACGGGTGTGAGTCATCTTTCACTGCCCCTCTACCCTCACTCAGGTGTTATGGCGAACACCTGCCCAGCTCTAGAGGACTACAGCACTGATGGGGAGCAGGTGTAGAGCCTGGCCAGAGTCCTGGAGACATATGAATACATGTGTTCTCTCCTCTCTCCAGGAAAGGTACCTCTGAGAACACCCTCACAGGGAAATCCTTGGTCAGAGGCCACCGAGAGGCTGTTAAATACAGAGATGGCAGGGCAGAGAGGCCTGGCCCACCTGCTCTTAAGGAATCCTGAGGTCCTGGAGGAGGAGCAAGATGGCGGAGGAGTAGGAGACCTAAATTTCATCTGGTCCCAGGAATTCAGCTGGATAGGGATCAAACCATCTGAACACCTACGAACTCAACAGGAGATCGAAGAGGAGAGTAGCAACAACTCTCTGAACAGAGAAGCGACCACTTACTGGAAGTTCGGACGTGCGGAGAAGTGAATC